CTCCTGCTCCTCCTCCTCCTCCCCTCCCCTGCCCCCTCCTGCCCTCCTCCTGCTCTCCCCCTGCTCCCCCCCCTCCCCCCACCCCTTCACCTCCCCTGCCCTCCCCCTGCTCCTCCCCCCTCTTTCCCCCTTTCCCCTCCCCCTCCTGCCCTCCCCTTCCCCCTTTCCCTCCCCCCTCCCCCCCTGCCCTCCTCCGCTCCTTCTCTCCCCTGCTCCTCCTCCTGCTCCTCCCTCTCCCCCCCCTGCCACCTCCCCCTCTCCTCCCCTGCTCCTCCCCTGTCTCCCCTGCTCCTTTTCCCCCTGCTCCTCCTCCTGCTCCTCCCCTGCTCCCCCTCCTGTTCCTCCCTGCTCCCCCCCTGCTCCCCCCTTGCTCCTCCCGCTCCTTCGCCCCCTCCTCCCCTTTTCTCCCCCCTGCCCTCCCCGCCCCTTTTCCCTCTCCTCCCCCTGCTCCTCCTCTGCTCCCCCCTGCCCTCCTCCGGGGCCCCCCTTTTTGCTCCCCCCCTGCCCCCTCCCTCCTCCCCTGCTCCTCCTCCCCGCTCCTCTTTTTGTCCTCCTCCTGCCCTCCCCTTCTCCCTCCCGCTCTCCTCCTGCTCCTCCTCCCCTTCCCCCCCTTGTTTGCTCCTCCCTGCTCCTCTCCTGCTCCTCCTTCCTGCCCCTTCCTCCTCCTGCTTCTCCTTTTTCCCCCCCTCCTCCTTGTCCTCCTCCTGCTCCTCCCCTTTTCTCCCCCCTTTTTCCCCCCCTGCTCCTCCCCCTGCTTCCTCCCGCTCCTCCCTGCCCCCCCTTCTGCTCCCTTCCCCCCTCCCCCTGTCCCCCCTGCTCCTCCCCTTTTTGTCCTCCTCCTGCTCCCCCTCCTGCCCCCCCCCCCTTTCTCCCCCCCTGTCCTCCTCCCCGCCCCCCCTTCTCCCCTTGCTCCCCCCTGCCCCCCTCCTCCTGTCCCCTCCTTGCTCTCCTCCCGCCCTTTTCCCTGCTCCTCCCTTTTCTCCTCTTTTTGCCCTCCTCCTTTTTCCTCCTCCCGTCTCTTTTGCTCCTCCCCTGCTTCCTCCTGCCCTCCCCTGACCCTCCTCCCCCCGCCCCCTCCTGCTCCTCCCTGTCCTCCCCTGCTCCTCCCTGCTCCTCCCCTTCTTTTCCCCCTTTCCTCCCTGTCCTTTCTGTCCTCCCCTGCTCCTCCTTCTCCCTGCTCCCCCTCTCCCCTTCTCCTTCCCCCGTCCCCCCCCTCTTTCCCCCTTCCTCCTTGTTCCCCCTGCTTCTTTCCCCTCCCCCCTTCCTCCTTCCTTCCCTTTCCCCTTCCCCTCCTTTCCCCTCGCCCCTTCCCTCCCCCTCTCCCCCTCCTCCAAAAAAAAACCCCCTTTTCTTTCCCCCCTTCCCCTCCCCATTTCCCCCCCCCTTTTCCTCCCCCTTTCCCCCCTTCCCCCCCTCTCCCCCCTTTTCCCCCTCCCTCCCCTCTTCCCCCCCCTGTTTCCCCCCCCGTTTTCCTTGTTTTTTCCCTTTTTCCTCTTTCCTCCCCCTTTTCTCCCTCCCTTTTCCCTTTTTCATTCTCCTCTTCCAAATTTCAAATTTTTTTTGGGGGATCTGATCTTTAAAAAAATGCCCAAAAAAATTTTTTTTTTTAATTTTTTTGGGGGTTTATTCTTTAAGAAAAAAGCAAAAAACATTGTAGTCAAAAAGGTAAAATAATCCCCAAATTTAAAATTTCTTTTATCCCCCTTTTAAAATGGGGGGCTGGGGGGGTTTTCTTTTTTGGAAATTTCAGGAGGGGCCTTTGTTATTTTTCATCTTTTAAAGGGTTTTCTTAACTAACATATCTCTTAAAATTTTCAAATGGGGGGGTTTTTTGGGAAGACTGGATTAAGATAAATAGGAGGTAAAGGAACGAAGGAAGAAGTGGGGGAGGAAGAGGTAATAGGGAAAAAGGGCAAAAAGAGGGAAGGATAAATTGGTAGAGGTGGTGAAAGAGGAAGGGAGAAAGGGGAAGGAGGGGGTAAGGAGAGGAAAAAAGGATGGGAGAAAATAGTTAAATAAGTGGGAAAAGGGGGAAGGGAAAAGGTAAAGGGTAGGGGAGAAAGGGAGGGTAAGCAGGAAAAAGTAGGGTTAAAAGGTGACAGGAGGGGGAAACAGGTAGCAGTAGTTTAAACAAATAGAAGGTAGGATAAGCAGGTAGAAGGTAGGAAGAAGTAGCAGGTAATAAACAGGAAAACAGGTAGGTAAGCAGCTAGACAGGTAGGTAGACAGATAGGCAGGCAGGCAGACAGGTACATAAGTAGACAAGTAGGCAGGTAGACAGGTAGGTCGTAGAAACTGAAGGATATTGATGTAGAGAGAGAGAGAGAGAGAAGAGAGAGAGAGAGAGAGAGAGAGGCCAGATTTAAAAGGCTCAGAAACATTTTTTTCACTACCATTGCTCACTCCACATCATGTATCTAACATAAGCACAATTCCTCTAGAGTTCTAGAGGTAAATCGAAAACATACCCACACCTGAAGCTCCTGAAATGAAACCAATGGAGGACCTACATTTTTGGAGCCCTGAAGCTCAAACTGTTATGGGGGGGCCTTTGCAACCACTTCTCATACAATAGACCCAGAATTGTTGAGCATTGTGGGCTAAAGACGTTTATGGGGCCCCCTCCGGGGTTAGGGGCCCCTTAAGTTTAAACTTCATTAGGTTGATAGTATATTCGCCGATGTGAGTGACTCTTAAAGACTGCAAACACGGCTCCTCTGTACGAAGATGATAATAGGTCATTGGCTAAAAAAACAACAGGTTGGTGGCGCTACCTTTACATACCTGGTTGACCAGGCAAGGAACAGACGAGCCTGATTCAGGATCAGAAAAGCCTGGTTCAGGCCAGTCAAGCCTGGTACAGGACCAGACAAGCCTGGTCCAGGACCAGACAAGCCTGGTCCAGGACCAGACAAGCCTGGTCCAGGACCAGTCAAGCCTGGTCCAGGACTGGGCGCCGGGGGTAGAAATAATCTCGACACTCGTCAATGGTATACCATAGGTAAAGGGTCTTCAACAAGAACTGAAGAGGGCGGTGTGACGCCAATTACCATTTCTCTTATTGTCGAAAACCATGACCTGTACAGCCCAGGTCAGCATGAGTTTAGATCAGGAAGATCATCTACCTGGAGGGTAAATCTTCTGACATTATCACTCCCAGGTCTCTCACATTAAACTTGCATTCTATAGTGTGATTAGAGATTGTCTTGAGCTCCGATCCTGTTTAAATTTACTGCAATATTAAATACCAAAGAATATGGTTAAGGACTGGGCCGACGGGGGGGGTCAACGCCCCCTCGGCCCAATCCTTAACGAGGTCTAATTCACGCTTGGAGGAATTCTCCGGTGCTGACGTGGTGTACACGTATTTTCCGCTGACAAATACGACCATGGTACGATGACACTTGAAAACGGATCATTAGGAGCGACAGGAAATGTATATAAACGGATTTACAGTTGTCTTAATGAGTATTGGTAAGTAACGTAGTGTCTGATCTTAGCCTGGTTGATCCGTCCCTGATCCACCAGGAGACCTGCTTATGGACCTGGCCGCAGGGGCGTTGACCCCCGGAGCACCCTCCAGGTAGTGATGTACTCCAGGACACTGTCCAGGTACCTCTCTTGTTTCTCATTCTTATAACAGACATAGCTGGAGGTTACCTGGAGGATACCTGGAGGTTACCTGGAGGATACTTGGAGGTTACCTGGAGACTACTTGGATGTTACCTAAAGGTTACATGGAGGCTACCTGGAGGTTACCTGGAGTCGCTTCTAGGGGGCACCGCTCCTGGTTGTTTGCCTGATCAACTGAACTATTAGCGCCTGCCGCCTGCAGTCTAACTACGTACCACAGCCTGGTTGATCAGGAACTGATTCGAGAAACTTGTCAAATTTTCTCTTGAAGAGAGCTAGGGGTTTTGTTGGTAATTCCTCTTATGCATGAAAGGAAGGTGTTGAAGAGTCTTGGTTCCTTTAAACTTATTTATTTTTTTCTCATTGTACTCGTCGCTCTGCTTATCATCAGAGGTAATTTACACTGTCTGTCAAGCCTCTTGTGTTCATAAGTATTAATTTCAGTGTGCAGGTTTGATACCAATCCTTCCAGTATCTTCCAGGTGTAGATTATAATGTATCTTTCTCGCTTGCTTTCTAAGGAGTATATCATGTGGGAGTTCGAATACGTGGATAGGGTAAAGTAATACTCACGTAGGCTGGTAGTACGTATAATTACAGATAATGTGGGGAGCGCCCAAACAGCCGTACCTATCTCCTTGCTCACTCTCGTATGACTGACCGCCCACAGTACCCATATGTGAGGGGGTCTTTGAATACTGCTGAGGTCAGCGGCAATATGAATACAGACAGTGACTAGGCAGAGTCGTTGGTGTGATCATCTACTGGTACACTGGTTACTGGTAACTGGTTACTACTACGAGAAAGTGACTGCTCTAGATGACTTTCAAGTTTGACAGTAATTTAGGGACTTGAATGAGTTTACTCTAGCTGTGAAGGTTCTGTCTACATTTTCCAGCTCAATAATATTACCTACCTTGAAGGTGGTCGCTAGTACACACAATATTCCAGTCTGGAGAGTTAGAGTGACTTAAAGATTACCATCACTAGCTTGGCATCTCTTGTTTTAAAAGTTAAAATTATTCAACCTATAATTTTCCTTGTAATTATAATAACATTGGTGTGTTCCTTGAACGTGTGATCTCCTGACATTATCACTCCCAGGTCTCTCACATTAAACTTGCGTTCTATAGTATGATTAAAGATTGTCTTGTGCTCCGATCTTGCTTTCATTTACTGCAATATTAAAGACCATATGTTCAACGTTTCTCAAAGAATATGGTTTTTGTAAATATTTGTAAGGGAGAGAGAGAGAGAGAGAGAGAGAGAATGAGTGAAATGTCAATAAATTTTCCTGATATAATAACCTGTATAACAATTTACATTCTCCTTCCACAGGTTAGTTGAGGTCAGAGTGGAGAGTGTAGCGTGGGGTACTAGTGGAGTACCCACATCACACATCTTGTACTGCCATCATCAGTAACCACGCCAG